AGAAGTGCAGCTCGATATCTCACTGAATTTATAATTTTCTCTCTAAATAGCACGAAAAACAATTTTTTTCGTGCTCTTTCAGTAGAACTACGAAAATGATTTTGAATCAAATTTCAAAGCTTCTGTTCTTGTCGGAAATTCAATTCTCATTAAAGAAGCTCTGATCCTTTTTTGTCGACTTAACAGATGAAGATGTATGAAGCTCTGAAAACCTGCGAGGACAATTATTTGTATTATTATAGTAATAAAATTAAAATTCGAAATCTTCTCTTTAGTCCGTTTAAGATAATATCTCACACTTCTTATATTAAATCAAATGGTGGTTATCGGGTCTATTATGGTGGTTATCGGATCCATAAGCCCCATAGGAATTATGGAATCTAGGTTTACTATAAATTAATACTAATGAACATCTAATTAGCACTTTATTCTCATGCCCTTATTTATTGGGAAACGTACTGTAAAAACTCAGTCCATCGGTCATACTGGTTTTCAGATCTATAAGCCCCATAGGCATTATGGAATCTAGGTTTACTATTATTTATCTAGTGAGCACCTAATTCTAAAATTACATATCTCATCAATACCGTAGATTACTGAGGAGAGTGGTGTGATGACTGCTACCTAGGACCTTCCAAATTATTTTCCAGTTTTCAGTAGATTACCTACATCATTATTATTATTTTTTTGATGAAATCGTTCAACGTAACATTTTCAAGTTTTCAGTTTCTAATTTTCATTCACCCCAATGCCACAGAGTTCTAGACACGTTATAACCTTTTACCTCAACTTGGGTGATGTATCGCTAACGACGTATCATTTGTAGCCACCCTAACGCCATACAGTCCTCAACACGNCGACGTATCATTTTAGACACCCCAACGCCACAGTTGTCAACACGATACAAAATCTTGACTTGGGTGAAAGATCCATGCTTGTAGCCCGATTCTGAGTTGACAATGTTCTTTGTATAGGTTATATCGGATTTGCATCTTTTTCATAGTGTACTATTATAGTACTAGTCAAACGCATTTAATACCCATATTGAAGTAGTTGTGAAAAAACATGTAATCCGTCATTTTGTAGCTGCAGTCATTTTGAATATGAATCTTTTTCAATATGTACTACTATTCTACTAGTCAAGCCCTGTCATTTGATACCCATATTGAAGAAATTGTGAAAAAATATGTACTTTTTTATAATTCGCCATGTTGTAGCTGCCGTCATCTTGGATTTACAACGATGCACAATTTATCAAATTGTATTGTCATCAAAACTAAATGTGTGTACCAAATTTTAGATTAATAGGTCAACAGGAAGGAGGTCAAACTTCAATTACTAAATTTGACCCAAATAAATAAATAAACAAACAGGGCAGGCTAAATAAAACCGTTTAAAAAGAATTGCTTGCAACGAAATTACTTAAGAAATATTTCATGAAGTAAGAAATTAATTTATGAACAGACTTCATCAAACAGACTTAGAAAGAGAATGAGTTTTGAATATTTTTTCTTGTAATTATGATATATAAAACCGCTAGTTACTTTGGAAAGGCCGATTCAATTTCCAAAAATGAACCAGTGTTGGATAGAGAATTGAAATATATATGAAATGAATTATCACAAGACCCCCTATAGGTTAGGTCTAAAGTTAGTGGGTCTATTCGACCCTCCACAGCAACCCGCAAGAGTTTATTGTGGCTCACACCTATTCACACTCGACCAAATAAACCCAGCTTCTTAACGAAGCCGATTAGTTTGAATGATAAGTGGTCTTTCAGGTCAGTTGGTAAGAGTACGGCTCTGCCGAACTCTAAAAACCTGATTCGGTCCCCAGCGGGGCAGGCACAAAGTATGTGCTCTGCTGTTTCATCATTTATCAAACAGAGGCAACAACACACTGTCTTCCGACAGTCCGAGTCCCTGCATATGAAAAATCAAATGACAGTGACCTGTAAGAAGGCCTGTTAGGCATCGTAGTTCATTCATACTTTAGTCCGACAACTGTTTGGAATCAAGCTTCGAATGGTGGATAAACGCCTTGGAGTGAGCCAATACTGGAAGATTCTGCCAGAAGTCCATAAATCCTATTGCCATCCACGTGTTCAATGTATGTTTGATAAAGCCTAAAGCGATGCCAATGAAAGGTTCTGGTCCGATGAAGCTGCTTGCAGCACCCTCCTTTGCAAAGGAGTCAGATACCTGGCCATTGCCTTCCAGGCCAGTATGGCCAGGTATCCAGACCAGATACAATCTGTCAAGTATTCCTATCGAGGAGAGTCGTTTTTTGGCAATTTGCTACCAATTTAGACGTTGCTCGGTAGGAGCCAATAGATTCCAACGCCGCTTGACTGTCCGAGAATATTTTTATTGACTTGTGTATGAGGTTGGATTCTTCCAATCTCTCCGCACATAATTCAATAGCGTAAATTTGCGCTTGAAAGAGCTCCCATATCATTTGGAAAGAAAATTGGTAACACCCTCTTGGTGATGAGTGAATCAACTGTATTGTTTTTATTATCAAAAAGTACTGGAACTGATCCCATTTTTTTTCTTATTTTGTTCTATCCAAAAGTTTATTTATGTTCGCACTGTATGAAACAAAATTGAAGTTCAATTAAAATGAAGTCTTGTAATACTCCTCTTCACGGAACAAATCAAGGGAAAACCAGTTATTTGAAACTTCATTGTATTGAATTGTATTACTCACTATAGATTATAAAATTTCAAGAATTTAAACTTATTTGAAAACCCAATCCCTCAAGGAGTAAATTTTTGTTACAGTTTGAACTACCTATTAAAACTGATTTTTATTATACTTGCTATGATGGTTTCTCGATTTATTTAAATTTCAAAGTGCCTCAAATACCTGACCAATTAATAGCTGTGCTCTGAGCACACTTCTGTTGAAGTAACAATACGATATTTCTTGGTTTAACAATTCTACAATACCTTAGAAGATCATTTGAAAAAGTATTTATATTTTTTGTCATGGCCTTTCAAGAATGTCTCAAGAATTCGTTTTTTTCTCTTCATAACCATAGAATTACTGAAATTTCTTTAAATATTTTTTATTAAATAAAAGTTCAATGAAAGCATTGCGTTTCTAAAGCTCAATAGTATACCTATAATTTACCCCGTTTAATTATCACTTACCTTATGTATAGTAAAACCAATAATGATTGAGAGTAAAGCGCGTTGTCATATCTAAATTTTACGTTACCAGTTTATAGCAGAATCAAAATATAGTAAGCAGTAGAGTTGTAGGTTGTGGCAAATTATAGATAATACACAATACTAGTACGATTAAAAGGTATTATTTATGACAAAAATCAGTAATGAGCTTGTAATGAGTAATACTTATACATTTCCTGATTACTGATCAGTTAAAATTCATTATTTTCTGTATAGTGTTAGATATTTATTACAACTAGTGGCAACGCTGTACGCAACGATATTTCTGTCTTTGTCACTTTACCGTAACTTCCATCTCATCGTTGCAGTCCTCACTAATGTACTTGCAGCCATGAGCGTATCATTGGTTT